AACAACAACAACAACAACAACAACAACAACAACAACAACAACAACAAGGTCAGTTCATCTTTCCAGCAGTTTTAAGTCAGAGGAGATGAAAGAATCCTTCAGACCTTTCCCATCAGTAGCGTTGGTGCAGTCAGTGCAGGCCCAGTCTGTGGTGTCCCGCTTAAGTCCTGAACACTTCCTGTGAGTCCCCGTGGACCCACACAGGCGGCACCGGATCACTTCGAACCAGCTGAGACCAACACAGAAAACAAATCCTGGTCTTTAAACAGTGAAGCTTCAACCGGAACAAGGAGACGAGCAGTGAGCACGGCGTTACGTCGAGTTTATTTATTCAACATGAAGAAAACAGGTTAGACCTGAAGGACTGGACCTGAAGACCTGAAGGTCTGGACCTGAAGGACTGAAGGTCTGGACCTGAAGGACTGAAGGTCTGGACCTGAAGGACTGAAGGTCTGGACCTGAAGGACTGAAGGTCTGGACCTGAAGGACTGAAGGTCTGGACCTGAGGGACTGAAGGTCTGGACCTGAGGGACTGGACCTGAAGGTCTGGACCTGAAGGACTGGACCTGAAGGACTGAAGGTCTGGACTTGAACGACTGGACCTGAAGGTCTGAAGGTCTGGACCTGAAGGACTGGACCTGAAGGTCTGAAGGTCTGGACCTGAAGGACTGGACCTGAAGGTCTGAAGGTCTGGACCTGAAGGACAGGACCTGAAGGTCTGAAGGACCTGAAGGTCTGGACCTGAAGGACTGAAGGACCTGAAGGTCTGAAGGACCTGAAGGTCTGGGCCTGAAGTGGACCAGATGTATTCACCCGATCCCCATTTGTGGCGTCTCCTGGGGTCCATGAAGTCCTAGGACCTGTCTGTAGACCTCAAAACAGGACCTTATCCAGGCAAAGACCAAGAACCTGATGGTCAGTCTACAACTCCAGCTCTTAGTAGAACCTACCAATCAGAACTCAACCAATCAGAACTCGACCAATCAGAACTCGACCAATCAGAACTCAACCAATCAGAACTCAACCAATCAGAACTCAACCAATCAGAACTCAACCAATCAGAACTCAACCAATCAGAACTCAACCAATCAGAACTCCGCCCATCAAGTATGTTGGCTGCAGATTTCCAGCAGCTCTGAGCTCTTTTGGACCTTCAGAGCTGCAGAAATATTTGTTCTTCTGAAAGCTTCTCCTCTCTTCACAGCTGGATCTCAGTCCAGGTGATCATCAGGTTTTGGGTCACCTCCCTGGTGAAGACCCTGTCAGGTCTAGAAGAGTCCTGATGGGTCCAAACWTCTTCTATTTACAGATGAGGGTCAGTGAACTCGTTGGGACCTTCAGAGGCACAGAAATGTTSCTGGAACCTTCCTCAGACCTGTTCTGAGGTCTACAGACAGACCCTGGGACWCCATATCTTGGTCCTGTCCCCCGTGGGACCTTCTGAAAGACCTCTTSTACTGAACAGACTAAAGAAGAGCGTACCCGATCTTGTCAGAGTGTGTGCGTCCGTTGTCGCAGAGGCAGGTGAGGGAGTCGCAGCGCATGTACACCTCCAGGAGCTCTGAGTAGGCGTTAGCCTCCAACTCCCATGATGCATCTCTGCAGAGGAACACACACCTGGATGAGGCTTTATCTAAAGAAAACAAAGCTCCTGTCTGATGTTTGAACCATGACGTCACCTCTCTGGGATGTAGATGCCCATCCTCAGCATCTCCTCCTGGAAGTCGTCTTTGTTGTTGCACAGAGTGCATCTGAAGAAGAAGAGCCCGGCGCTTTGGGCCTGACGCTGACGCACACAGACAACAACACAAACAGGAAGTCAGAGACGACAAGAACGACTGAGCGGGGAGGGTGAAACTGGTCCAGTAAGATCTGGTCTCCACCTGYACACAGTCCCTGTGGAACCAGCTGCCGTGGCAGGACGGACACTTCAGGATGGAGTAGGACAGGACCGGGTTGATGGGGTCCAAGCAGACGGAGCAGGACTGAGGCAGGCTGATGTCGGCCCCGGTGCTGACGGACTGGGTGGGGCTGTGATCCCTGCAGTAGGACCTGAACACAMAAACACAATGTGTAACAACAAACACTTCAACACAACCCGGTTCTGGACTTTAACCACAAAACTGGTTTTATTTGTATTTATGGATTTTCCACATCCTGGATGAAGATCTGAGACCCGTCAGGTCCAACAGAGAGAAGAAAGAAGCAGCTCAGCGCTTGAAACATTTGCTGTCATTGTTTTTGTCTAAACATATACGAGTCATTTAAATTAAAGATGTGAAAATATCATTTTAAATCTTTTTTTACGTTTGTTTTGGAGCCGAAGCTA